CTCTCCCTTTACTTGTATGTATCACTTTTTCAGTAACTCTTCTGGAAGACAACTGTATATAGCAGGGATATAGTAATGGGAGAGTGAGACAGGGCAGAGGGACAAACATAGGAAAAATAAAAAAATAAAATAAAAAAAAAAGAGGAAGAGGAAAAAAAACCATATATATGTGCATAAGCAAGAAAGTAGAAGTGGAATATTATTGATGATAACATGCTTGATTGGGTCACTGTGCAGTTTATTCTAGATGGGAGATTACATTTAGTACGCTGTGATGATGCTCAGGGAATGAATGTTAGGAAAAAAAAAACGAAAACAAAAAACAAACAAAAAAAAAAACGGTAAAACTATTCGTACCATTTAAAAAAAAAAATGGATATTTGATGGCTGCAGTGAGCGGTATGGGCCCAGTTGGGTTCTACTTTATAGTATGCTCTTTTTACCCAATGGGGTTTAGGCCTAAAGTCAGACTTGAGTTCATGTAGAGGCATGTGTCAGCTGTGATAACTATTGGAGAGACTTAGACTAATTAAGATCACTGACAGATCATTTGGGGAGGGGTGAGGCACGGAGGGCAATCGGGGATGACAGGGACAATGTGGGAGGAGGATGGGTCATAACAGAGGGAGGGGGATGGGGAATCTAGGATGGTAAAACAAAAGGCAAGGTATGCAGGACACAAGAATTGGGAAATTATTTGCTGAGAACATATATGTTGACGTGCTTGATTGAGCCAACGCACAGTATATATTGGATGGAAAATTCATTTGAGTGTTGCGATGGGAAAAAAAAAATTATAATAAAAAATAAACTAAAAAAAAAAAAAAAAGAGAAGAGGATAGAGAAAGATAGCAAGTGAACAATAGAGGGGATGTTAGTGAGAAACAGATATGGTTTATTATCTGTTGAAGATGACGTGTATAGTATTCTCAACTGGACTGGTCTGGGAAGTATTTCATGATGGGTGAAGTCTTTTAACAAGCAAAATGAGAAATAGTGATTGACTGTTTTAAAAAATTATAATAATAATAATTATTGGGAAATGCATGGAAAAGACTTTGAATGATAAAGCGGGGAGATCGATGCCTCTGTATTGACTGACATGCATGGCATTCCCTTTTGAAAAAGCAATGGAAGTCAATGTAAAGTTATATGTAATCCAATGTAATATAAAGAAGATTATGATAATAATAAAAACAAAAAACAAAAAACAAAACAAAACAAAAAAAAAGATTTCTGTGCTGATGATGTTTGCTCTCAGAGAACATCTGTTACACTTCCACATACTTTTAATTGTATCTAATATTTCTCATATGTTATTGTATGTATGTTTTTTAAATTCTTTCAAAAACTGCCAGGAACAAGATATTTGGAATGAACTAAAACCTTCCAAAACACATTCCAGGGAGTTCATGGTGAGGGAGATGCACCCATCTTGCAGAGGACTGAGATGAGGATGGGAGCTGAAGAATCACCTAGAACAGCCTTAATCTGAATACATTTGACTGAAATGAGTTCAGAGGGCACAGGTGTGCACACAAAACAGCCCTAGTGACAGCACACCTCAGAATTAAGAACACTGCATATTAAGTTCCCCACAGATGAGCTTGGTCCCATGAAGTCAAGGTGGCCCCCAGGTGGAGGCATTCCAGGCTCAAAATTCCTGGTTCGGCTCAGCAGCTGCACACAGGACTTGAGGAGGTTGCAGAAGGGCTTCACAGGGTGTACCTTCTGTCCCAATTCCCAGCCCTTAACCAAGCACCTCCTGTCAGACTTGTGTCCAGTGCTGACCATGGCTGACAGCGGAGCGAACCTGTGGTGAGACAGGCAGTTTGTTCACTGCATGGCTAGGATGGGACTGAGACCAATTCTTTCCAGTTCACAGAAACCTGGAGGACATCAGCAACTCTGAAGTTGGAATAACAAGGGCAGCAAAAAATAGATGGCCACATGGGTGTGGACCAGCCTTCACACTCCTGGTGGCAGGTCTTGCTAGTGTTGTCAGCTGGTGTCTCCTTAGGAAGCTCAGCTTTCTCTTGGGGATCTGCTTCCCTGTGGGATTGGTAGAAGGCTCTGGGAACTGTCCTGAGACACCCAGGATGCATCAGCTCCTGGAGTGTGGCCTGCACTTGGCCACCTGACCTAGGGAGTCCACTGTACTCGAAGAGAATGTACAAGTCAAGTTAGCAAGGGCACCTGCTGTGTGACCATGAGTCCCTGAGGTCGAATGCAATGGCAATGTCAAGTTTATAGATCCTCGGTCACTGTGCTTACCATGTCCCTGGTTCATATTTCACACACTGCACTTACAAAGTGTCATGTCGCCTCTCATCCTCTGTGATCTTTGTGTTCAGATGAGTGAAATGTGAAACTGCTTCATTTCTTTGTGGTGGCCTCTAACTCAAGGACCCCAGGTAACTGTCAGGAAAGAAGAACCTGATATTTGTACCCTGTCATACTCAGGCTACGGTGCTGTGACAGAAAACCACCAATAGGTTGATGGCATAAATGACAGAAAGTTATTTGTCTCTAGAGAAGTTCATGGTAAAGTTCCAACATTTTTAGGTTCTGGTGAGAGCCTTTGTCCTGGCTTAAGACAGCTGCCTTCTCACTGTGTCCTCACAGGCAGAGACAGAGAGAGCTCTGGTCTTATCATCTGCTCAAAGAGGCTCAGATGTGCCCTAGGGCTGCCCCCTCATGTATCCCTAGCTACCTCCTAGGGCCTCACCCCCCATATGCCATCACAGGGGCTTAGGCCTTCAGCATGAGCATGGTGTGGGAAACAACCTCCAGCCTGTACCAACTGACCCCACAGTGCAGGTTAAGGGGCAGGCTGTAGGATCCAGATGGGGTCAAGGGGGAGGAAGGTTACCCTCTGTCTCTTCCTGGGAACCCACCAGCAGCACTAGGACAGCAGGGCAGATGGCAGGCAGCAGTGGGGACTGGTTCTGCAGCACTGAGCCCCAAGGAGCCACAGAATGATGCTGTTCTGAACAAAACCCAGACACATAGTCATGGACCCAGTTCTCCCCATATGACTCATGCCACAATCCTATATCCTGAGAGGGACCATGTCACCCCATCTTCCAAAGATGAACCCAGATGTAGATGAGGCATGTGACCAGCCCAGGTCACCCCATGGAGCAATCTGGCCCTGGCCCTGGTCCTCACTCCCCAACTTTCCTGCGAGTACATGAGCGTGGGTTGAGCTGGACTCAAGACACTGCTGGTGGGTGCAGTGTGGACACAGATCTGCCAGGATCTGCAGAGTGTGTGCCTGGATAAGCAGGTCCAGGACTCATTTCTGCTTCCCTCATGTCCACAGGACAGGCAGGAAGAGGAAGCCACACACCAGGAGCAGGAGCAGGGCAGGGGCAGAGAAGTGGTGGGCTGACCTGATGGGGAGCACAGGGCCCAGCAAGCCTCCCCTCTTCCCCTGCTCTTGGCAGGGAAAGCAGGTGAAGAGCTTTGCACACCTGTCACTGCTCCTGGGCACGACTGCCCACCCCCATGACCATAGAGCTGGCCATGGGTCTCCTGATGCCACACAGCCTTCCTGGGGAGGAATCAGAACTCAGACCCTGAGAAGAAGGGGGTGGCTGAGAGGGATGAGTAGTGACTGTATGTGTGCATGGCCAGAGATTGTGAGGGGAGGGCTGCAGTAAAGGTGCAGAGGCTGCACACACCAGACAGTTCTGCAGAAATCAGGTTAGGCAGTTCTGGAAGCTCAGGGTGTGCTCCTCTCACTCTGATCCTCCCTTGCCTGTTTCCTGCTCCCATCAGGTGTCTTCATCCAATGTCTACCTGATCACCCCCACCCAGGGTCTTCCACTTACCAGGTGCCACAACCCAGGCAACTCTTGCACTCTATGAGGTCTCAGCTCTGGGACCACAAACAGTGTGACCCACACTGCTCCAGGTGGGCTCATGATCCTGGTGACAGGAGGCCGTGGTGCATGAGGGAGGGACTGTCCTAGTGTGAGTGTAAGTCTGACCCTGCCTCTGTTCCACTCATGGTTAGGCCTTGGTGGGAAAGGGATAGTAGTGGTGAGTACACCTGACATGACCCGGAGACAGCAAGGTCAGTCCCTAGGACCACGACAGGGTGGGTCCCCTCGGTCAGTTGGACAGACTCCCTGCCCAGAAAGCAGGGAAAGGCCCTCACCTGCCCCTGCTATAATCGTATCCCAAATGCTCCCACTCAGCTGAGGCTTCTTGCCCTTCTCTCACCCAATGCCCTGTTTCCCCCTGATTAGGATCCAGAGGTGCTGCCACCACTGCTTAGTTTCACAACCCCACTGGGTCTTGATGATGCCCCCACTGAGCCCAGAACCATGACCCTGGAAGCCAGGCCCTCCCACTCCCCCAGGCCCCAGGGAAAGCCCAAGCTGCAGGGAAGGTCGTTCCAGCCTTTCCCTCTGGCCTCTTTCAGGGAAGCAGAGCAAAGCTCCCAAGGGAAAAGTGCCAACCCAGACTCAAGGTCAGAAAGTCGGTTCCTGGTCCAGAGGTCAGAGAGTTCCAGAGCACCCAAGCATCAAAAGGTATTTACGGGGGTCAGAGAATGAGGAATACTCAGGGGAGGCCCTAAACAAGCGAGCTTCACCTAAGACAGATGAGGAACAGGGTGCTGGGGCGTCAGATTCTGTCATTCCCAGGAGCAGTGTCGGGGGCCACCAAAATAGGCAGGGAAGCCCTCGGTCAGTCACTTGTGCTGGGGGACCTGGCTCCTCCCAGTCCTGCATCCTCTCTGACCTCCCTCCACTGAGCCACACAGCCCTGAGTACAGAGGGCAGTGTCCTAAGAACAGTTCCAGCAAACTCCCTGAGAGCGCTTTCCAACAAAACAATTTATTGTACGTAAAGAAAGCCCAACCTGGAGCGACTCCCCTCCCAACCTCCCATTCTCAACACGGCAACCCCCCAAAACACGCCCACCCACCCCCATCCTCCCAAATCTTAGGAACAACTGGGCCATCAGGACTGAGGGTGGCCTTGGTCTTTTGGAGGTGCAGGCTGCAGACAGCACGACACCTAGTGCAGGCCCACCCAAAGGCTGGCCCACAGAGGCCCCCACACCCCTACTGGCTGCGATGTTGCTTCTTGCTCTGCCCTGAGGCCAATATATTCCACTTTCTCTTACAGCTGTGAGGGTCCAGTCAGTCCCAGAGCCAGGGCTTGTCCCCCAGAGACCCCAAACTCAGGACTCAGTTTCAGCTTCTTAGTAGGGATGGGACCTCCAATGACATCTTGCTTCTTTGCCTTGGAAGGCAGATGGGCAGCTGAGCTCAGGCCTCTTCTCTGTGCAGATCGGGCCTTGGTTGCTCCCCGGGGCCTGCGACCTCCAGGACGGAGAAGGCCCGAGGTGGAGGCAGGGCTCAGGGCTGGCACCCAGGGCAGCAGGCTGTGCGGGGAGGTCATGAGGAAGGCCAGGCTGGGGAGCTGTTCTTCATCCTCACTGGACCCATCTGCTGGCCAGCGCATCCCCCTAACAGGCGAGGTGCCTACACCACCTGAGGCTCCCCTGGTCCCCGGACAAGGAGGAGAGAGTCCATGTCCCTGGGGAGAAGAGGCTGGCCCAGCAGTGCTCATTGGGTGTGGCCCCACATGCCCTGGGAAGATATCAGTGTCCTTAGGCCAGAGAAGGTCAGCATCTCTTCCGTCATGTCTCTCAGGGTCCTGGGCAGCCTTCGGGGAGGTCTCCAAGCTGATCTCCTCTTGGAGGTCATGGACGTCTCTCTCTGCATCTCGACCATTGGCAGACTTAGAAATACTGGGCCCCAGTACAGGTTCTCCAGGACCTGGGGCTGCCTCCTCACCCCTGTCCTCCTTCAGGGCCCGGAGGCGCTTCTCCACCAGCTGGGAGGAAGGAGAGTGGATATGAGTTCCTCTGTGCCAGGTGTCAGGAGCGGAGGGGGTCATAGAGTGACTTAGGGGAGGCAGGGAAGCTGAGAGGTCCCTGGTGTTTTTGTCACCCTGGTCTACCTGGTGTCCCTCTATCCCTGATTTCCCAGGTGTCCCACGCTCCCTGATCTACCCAGTGTCTTGGCCTCCCTGGTCTACCTGAGCTCCATACCCCTGTCCACTCTGCTGTCCCTCTCTCCTTTTTCTACCTGGTGTCCCTTTGTCCTCTGGTACCTGATCTGGGGTCAGCCTTTCCTCCTGCTCCAGCTCCTTCATTAAGGCCAAGAGATCCATCTCTGGTTGTGGGGAGAGTAGTTCTGCCAGGAATTGGGGGTGAAGGACGGCCTCCACCTAGGGTGGAAGGAAGAGAGCTGTCAGGACCTTGGAAGGAGGAGCCTGGGGCCCAGGGACCGGGGAACAGGCAGAAAGCACGCCGCATCCTATCCCCATGCACACTGCCAGGTGAGTGTAAATCATGGAGTCCACCTATTACGCACAGAGACTCACACACACACACACACAGACTTGCATACAGATTTACATGTAAACACAGAAAAATAAACAATGATAGATGTACACAAAACATATACATGTATGTGGCCATACAGAGAAATACAAATCACACAAACACCCACAAACACAAACACTGATACATGTGGAAAATAGAATAGTACTACCATCTCCATAACCCTGACCCGCAGAGACACATACCACAGACACCTATGGTAAAGCACACACAGAATGAAGAATACTTAACACACAGAAACACGAGCACAGACAAGGGAACAGAAGTAGCACACACAGAGAGAGAGAGGGACATACTGCACACCTGGTACCACTCATACATTAATCACACACACAATCACAGGACCACTTAGACACACAGTCACATACATACCAAAAGCAATCACAGTAACACACACACACACATATACACAACAGCCAAGGTAGCACAAAGACACACACACACGTAGCAGCCACAGTAGCATACACACACACACCCACATACACACAGATGATCACAGTAGTACACAGACACACACTCACATATATAAACATAGACAACCACAGTAGCATACACACAAGCACCCACATACACACGGGCCCCCTCATACATACACAAAGATGACCACAGTAGAATGCAATTGTGCATCCACATACATATAGACAATCAGAGTAGCATACACACATTCACCACAAACACACACATAGCAACCACGATACAATACAGAATGCACCCACATACACACACACACTCACTCCCCCTGTCGGGAGCTGAGCAGTACAGCTGAGTTACTAGGTCTGGGGGGCTCCCCAGAACATGCAGACACCAGCACCCAGGACGACCCACCTTGGTGATAAAGTCCTCCTGGGAGCACAGCTCTTCCATGTAGCTCAGGAGCCCCAGGTCAGGGAACGCCCCATCCTCCTGTCCGGGCTGGACGGCGTCCTGTGCCCACTGGCCACTGTGTCCCAGCAGCCCCTTCATGATGTTCACATACTCCTGCTCGGCTTCAGGTGGGATCCACTTTGGCCCCTTGGGGTCTGGCCTCTTAGGGGCTCTGGATGGTGACAGGTGGCTGGGTGTGGCCTCTGGGCAGGCCTTCTTGGGGACACTGCACCCTAGGAGGAGGGAGAAGTCCAGCATGTGGCAGAGGGCTTGAGCTGCCATTCCCACCCACATTGGGGTGTGAACGGAGACTGGGCTGGACCCCAGGACCCATGAAGAGTGGACATCTATGTGAGGGGCAGGTGGGAGGAAGTTTGGAGCCATCCCTGGCCCAGATTCTCTCCCCATTGGGCCCCTTCCTGGTCAGGCTGTTTGTTGAGTCCTTGGAGAATGAGAAGAGAGTAGCTGAGACCCATGCCCAGGCCAGTCCTCACTTCAGGCCTTGGACAGTCAAGACCCCAAGATCCCAGTGTGCTCCCCGCTTGCAAGGGCAAATGCCCTCTTTACAGAACAGTAGGGGGCATGGGGACTGTGGCCTCCTCAGACCCTTTGACCTTTTCCAGGCGATTGTCAGGATGTGGGTCCATACCTGGCTCCTGGACAACCTCGGGGATCAGGAGCCCTGGGGGGTCAGGCTTTGGTGGGGCCACAGGAGGCAGGTACTGGGAGCCATTCAGCTCCTGCAGCTGCTGAATCTGCATCTCCTCCTCAGCCTCGAACTCCATGAACCTGTGGGGAGGAAGATCCCGGCCCTGCTGAGAGGGAGGTCAGGCCCCAACACAGCACCAGCCAGCAGGGAGGGGAGGACATGCCTGGAGTGGGCTGCACAGA